ATTGCTCCAACTGTTGGTGTTGAATCAGAAAGTCAAACGAACTGGAAATGAAACATGATGATCGCACACGCAATTTTACAGTTATTTGTTGCAAGCATCGACGTGTCAAAACTGCCCAAACGAAACGAATTTTCTCGATTGCGAATTATTGATATTACCTTTTATAAAAAAAAAAAAAAGAGGATCAAAGTAGAAAACATCTTTCGTTGAGAATAACCCTGAGATGACCCCTCAAATAACAATATGTTTTGCCCGTGCGCTAGCTTCATTAGCATAATTTATAACGATCAACAACAAACAACATGGCGGCCAAAATAGGTTGGATTTTGCAATCCCGCGATGAAAACGTAAAAAACGAATGTTTTATAATTTTGTTTGGATATTTCATGTTGACAAGGTAAATAAAACATCTCTCATTTAATAAAACTGGTTCATTTGTTCATTTTGTTTTTGAGACGGGAGGAATTTGCTCTTCATGTGCGAGACAGTCCACAGAAGTGCCGCTGGCCGGCTGGGGATCGATAGTATAGTATCGATCGGAAACAAGCTAGTTTGTCATTTCAAACTTTAAATGAAACTGTTTCAATTTGTAAAAATTTTCCAGTCTCCAAACGTTACATTCAGATGATATTCAACTTTTTGTTTTTACTTTTTTGCAAACCAAGTTGCGATGGTCACCCCTGTCTATTAGACCTAAAGATTGTGTACTCGGTAATCTGAACGTAACATATGGCCACTTTCCTGTTAGCGATTCGCAAGTAGGTATTGTTTTTTTGCTGATACCGTCTGACGGAAATGTTGGTGGTCGTTATACAAAGGTTAAAATGTGAATAGGTCTACAATAGGGTGGTCGCTGGTCGCGTTGGACAGTGGTCGCTATATCCAGTGTCTTTAACATGTAAATTGCGAAGGGACTGTACTAATGTGGTCGCTATGAGCAGGTGGCCGCTCTGCACAGGTGGTCGTTAACACAGGTTTGACTGTACTAGGAAATACTAAATATTTTACTTGAAATTAATTTTCGCTGAAAAGACTATTTGGGTGTTTTGTGTGGAATTTATCTTCACCAATTTTTGACAAATGTAAAATACAGAAAAAAAAAGATACATTTGCTGGATTTTATCTTCAGCGAAAAAATAGCGAAAATTAGTTCTAAACGAAAATGAAGTATTTTGTAGTATTTGTAATCAGTATTACTTAAGCTAATTCTGATTTCAACATTTGGATTAAGGAATTATGCATGCAATTAAACATATATATATATGTTGAATGTTTATTCTACTAAGGCCAGACTATTTTTATTCCTTGTTTCTCAAGTTTTTTGAGGAGAGCGGAAAAAATAAATATATCAAATTAATTCTTTTTTTCCATTATATTTGTGTGATTCTCAAAGAATTGTAAGTGAGATCATTGATCAGAGAGAGAAGAAATGAAATAACATTTTATTCCATGTATAACCTTGTTTCTCATCTGCGCGAGACTTCGGTACTTTGATCATGATACTCCCACGAAAATGCAACTTGGGGTTATGCGGCGGGCTGGTGAAAAAATGAAGATAAAAATAATATTTTTTTAGTAATTTTTTGCGCTTACAAGTCGGCGGGTGCGAGAAATTATGCTGAAATAAAAAAAAAAAATTCATTTTCGGCTCCTGTTCATTCGGCGGGTTCGCAAAACAAGGAATAATAAAAGTCTGGCCTAAGTTGTCATACACTTGTGGTGCTAGAATAGCATCAATTTCTTCTTGTATTCAACACTTGCACTGTGGAATTATGCATAATAATACTACTACTACTACTAATAATAATAATTATAATAATAATTAATATGATAAAAATACAATCCTGGGATGTTTTGACAGAGTAAGCTGAGGCTTCAGTTGAAACAAAATTCTGATGATAATCACTTGTGTCCACTGACGTCAACCTAAGAAAACATATCAAAGGATTATGTAAAAGTAGAACAGCTTCCAGGTTTTTACTTACTTGTCTCAATACAAGATGCAGGGTAGTTCTTATTGAACTTTGAAATCAAGAGGTTTAAAAATGTCTTGGAGTAGAGTCGAGACTTTCAGTGTATATATAGAGTATATCTGGGAATTTTGAAGAGTTGTATCAATACGAGCCAAAGGCAAAACTTGATACAAACTCTGGCGGTAATCATTTGTGTCTGCTGACGCCAACCTAGGAGAAAATGTCATGGGATTATATGTAATAAGTACATAAGCCTCCAAGTTCACACTGACTTATCAGAAAACAAGATGCAGGGTATATCTTGAACTTTTGAATCAAGAGGTATAACAATTCTTTGGTGTAGAGTGCAGGCTTAGAGAGTAAATGTACTGTAAAATACTTTATTTTCACTCAGAATTTATTTTCACTGAATGGATGAAAATAAAATCCAGTGAATATACCTTTTTTACTATATTTTACATTCAGTCATCAAAATTCAGTGAAAATAAACTTCATACAAAACAGTCAAAATTTTCTTTAAGCGAAAATTAATACCAGCTAATATAAAAGTAATTCACGTAAGTAATGCACTTTGCAAATACAGCCCATTTTTGTGTATGTAGAGCACATTCTCCAAGTATTGACTGAATGAGGCAGAATCCTCACCAGTGAAGATGAATTCGAACATTTATGTATTCCTAACGTACGTGTACGTGTAGAAAGACAACCAGATGGATATGACCTCGCATAAAATAGATAACGTTTTCTGCGATTCACTTGGATAGTTTTTCAACGGAATTTCCGGTACCTTGGTAATCCCATTCACACATTTCTCATGCTGATTTTCCATGTAAAATATTATAATAAAAACAAAAACAAAACTATTAGTAATATAGCGCTTTTTAAAAAAAACGCATAATCCCTTGGATTGAGGTATAAAATGTCGTGTGTGGCAGGGTCTGATTCT